AAGTTTACGAATTTACAACGTTAAAATCCTGGGTTCGATTCATCTTGGTGGACTGAATGTAGATAGCTTATTGTATAGCTTTGCACTAAGAAAAAATAACAAAAGAATCTATAAATGAAATACCAATTTATGTAATTCTATTCACTGCCCATTTAGATCCTGACTTTCGTCCTAAAGGTCTGCAACCGATTTCTATTCAAAGTCAAATCAATTAAAATATTGATGAATCTAATCATAATTATAAAAACCCATCATTTATCTATCAAAAAATATCATACTTTCTAAATAAACTGTTCAGATGATAAACTTAATATTCAAAAATGTACCAGTATTATTTAAAAAAGATATATTCAGACAATAATTTAATATTCAACAAGACATTTCCGACAATATAACAAGCATTCAGCATGATATCTCCAAACAACATATCGAACATCGAAGAAGATATATTCAGAAAACAGAAAGGTATTATGTGCTTAAAAATGATATTCAGCAAGGTATATCCAACAATAAAAACAATACTTAACAAGAATATTCAGTCAGTATCTCTGACATTTTACAAGACAAATTCAGATATTTGAAAATATATTCGAAAGACATACTCCAACATTGTATCTACTATTCAATAAGGCCGATCTTGACATAAACCTAGTATTCAACAAAAGATAACCATAAAACATCCCTGACATTCAAGAAATATATCCAGAAAGCTATCCTAACATCAAAAGAGATATATTCCGGAATAAAACACATCAAAATGAGACGCTAAACATTTTGCAGTATATGTTGCACTAACGTATTTAATATTAAACAAGACACATACAGACATTAAATCTAATATTCAATAATAATATTCCTACAATAAACTTGATAGAAATGAATAAAAACTCTATAACCCGAGCGATTTCAGGGGCAAACTGAAGAAGAAAGGTCCACCTTTCAAAAGCGTTCGGCTTATAGGGTTTTTATTCATTTCTATCGAGTCTTCTTGAACCTACGTGTTTTTCTAACATCATGAACTTACAATAAACATAATTTCCTAAATATCTATCCAGACATTGATTATAAGATTAAGTTTTTTAAAGTATGTGCAAACCCATTTCATAATAAATATTTTGGAGTTTAGAAGCTATTCTATTTAGAAGCTAAAGACAGTTTAAAACATAATAGCTTTTTTAGTACATAGTAAAAGTTGTAGCATCATCAACTGGAAAAATGATGGAGTTTCAAACAACATTATAGTAGTTGTAATAATATCAACTGAGAATTTCAAAAACATCATAGTAGTTGTAGCACTATCAACTGGAAATATGATTTAGTTTAAAAACATCATATAGTTTTTAAACCATCAACTGGGAAGATGGGGAAGAAGTTTAAAAACATCATAGTAGTTGTAGCACTATCAACTAGAAAGATGATGTAGTTGAAAAACATCATATAGTTTTAAAACCATCAACTGGGAAGATGGGGAAGAAGTTTAAAAACATCATAGTAGTTGTAGCACTATCAACTAGAAAGATGATGTAGTTGAAAAACATCATATAGTTTTAAAACCATCAACTGGGAAGATGGAAGAAGTTTCAAAACATCATAGTGAATTAGTGTTTGTAATGCCATAAACTAGGAATCTGAAGGAAGGATATAAACATTTTAATAATGACTGAAAATGGAGGAAGTTTCAAAACATCAGAACATTTATACTACCATCAACTTAAAATATAAAATAACTTTAAAACCATCATGGCAACTGTATTACCATCAACCGGGGAAACGGAGAAAATATTAAAAAGTTCTAAGAGTCGTAATACCATCAATTGAAAATATCAAAAAAGCTTAAGATATCAAAGACGTTTTGATAACCTCCAATGAAAGAACGACGAAATGTAAAAACTCTTCGTCACTTCCAAAAAACAAAACAATAGCTATAAAAAACAGTGTTCCGCACTAAAAAAAATCAGTTATTGTAATAAAGAAACAATATCACTCTTAAAAAAAAGAATTACTATAACAAGAAATATATCCAACCTTTAAAACTGTATGTTGTTAAAAGCTTCACAATGGAGTAGATGTGCTATGCTTATCACAGTGAGCTCACCCAAAATTTTAGCAATATAAACCCTTAAGCCTACAAACGATTCACTATTGAGCCGTTCTTAGAATGAAGAATCAATATGAAAAGAAACAACGTTTGGCATCCTTAAAAATAATTACCTTAACAAGAAACTTTTTTAACCTTGAAAAATATTAATTATTATAAACAACAGAATGTGTTGATAACGTTCAAAATACCATTTAGTGTGTTCATGAAAAGAGCAGTCACTAATTCATGCAAATCGGTTACAGTCAATTATATAATCATAAAAATATATTATCTTCATGAAAATCACTCACAATAGTATAAACATAAAACTATTTATCAACTTCATGAAGTTCAGTTACATTAGTATAAGCATGAAAACTGATCATAAAGATCAGTTATAGTACAATGAAAAACTGTTCTTCTACAATCTAAATCATGAAGATCAGTTGTAGTAAGTTAAACGTAAAACTGTTCGACAAATTCACGACGATAATTTTCAGTTATATAAACCTAAAAACTATATTCATCAACTTTTGTGAACACCATTTACAGTAGTATGAACCTAAAAACTGTGTACTGTAACTGATCTTTATGAAATTGGTAAACACAGTTTTTAGGTTCATACTACTGTAACTGATCTTCATGAAGTTGGTAACTACGGTTTTTATGTTCATACTACTGTAACTGATCTTTATGAAATTGGTAAACTATGAACATAAAAACCGTAGTTACCAACTTCATGAAGATCAGTTACAGTAGTATAAACATAAAAACCGTAGTTACCAACTTCATGAAGATCAGTTAAGCAGTATAAACATAAAACTCTATTCATCAACTTTACGAATTTCATTTACAGTATAATAAATAGTAGTTGAAGGTACCCGTTAATGACAATGTTAAATAACGTTTCCTTTCCTTCTTTCCTCTCTTATTAAACCCCTAACGACCTCATTAGGTGCTAATTGGATAACCTGTTTTGTGGAAAATAGTAATTTACTCATTTAACTTTTTAAGTACTTGTGTCTTTAAAATCAAAGCCAAGAGTCTGTCAAAAAAAGCGGAAATGTGCCCTATTACAAGATATTTTTTCATCTCCCTTCTCGGTCAGAAATCCTAAAACAGAATAATCCTTGTATATCGTCGGACGGTTTTTAGTTATAATACAAAAACATTATGGTAATCGAACCACACACATAAATTATTGTCTTTAGTGTAAGATGAAAATTCTGGTCATCAACTTAAGGAAGTTAACTTAAGGAATTACGAAAATAAAAACTATTTCTCAAAGAACTATACACATCGTTGTCTTTAAAATTTCAGTTAGTTACTATTGGACAAAAAAATAAAAAATCAAAAAAAAATCTTTGATGTTACAAACACTGTTACATTGTACTATTGTGCACTACTTTCAAAACCACCAAGGTTTCACCAACATACTGAACATGATGATAATAAGAATAGCGATTTTATCACTAACGTACTGAACATAATCTTAATGGAAATTGAAAACTGTCCGATGGTGTATGTGGGTTATTTTGTTTTGGGATTTTTGCCAGAGAAAGGGATAAAAAAAAGGCCAGAAATAAGGCACATTTCCATTTTTTTATAAACTTTTGGCTTTGAATTTAAAGACACAAGTACATAATAATTTCACTGATTCAATTATTACCTTTCACAAAACAGGGTATGCAATTTGCATCTAATGAGGTCTTTAGGGATTTAATAGGACGAGGAATACTATCTAATATCGCCCTTCATATAAGTTTTGCTTCCTTAACGGGTACACTCAGTTAGTAATAATAATAATGGTTTTGTCCTCAATATACTAAACATAATCAAGAATTGACATTAAACATAACGAACATAATAAAGATTTTATCACAAAAAATACTAAACATAAGAACAGTAAAGATTTTATCACCAATATACTGAATATAACAATAATGATAGATTTTATAAGTAACACACTGAGCATAATAATAACAAAGCTTTTATTACCGACATACTGTTTGTTTGTTTTTGAATTTCGCCCAAAGCTACACGAGGGCTATCTGCGCTAGCCGCCCCTCATTTAGCAGACCAGAGGGAAGGCAGCTAGTCATCACCACCCACCGCCAACTCTTGGGCTACCCTTTTACCAACGAATAGTGGGATTGACCGTCACATTATAATGCCCTCACGGCTGAAAGGGCGAGGATATTTAGTGGGATGGGGATTCGAACCCGCGACCCTCAGATTGCGAGTCAAGCGCCCTAACCACCTGGCTATGCCGGACCCTGACATACTGAACACAATTATAAAAAAGGTTTTATTACCAACATACTGAAAATAATAAAAATAACAATTTTAACACCGATATAATGAACCCAACGATAATAATAATAATAAAAAAATTACCAACAATATATTGAACACAATAATGATAAAAAATTGTCATCAAGATACTGAACATAATAATAAAGATTTTTTTTGCTTCTAGATATATATATATATTTACGATAAACTCTATTTCATATTAAACGTGTCAACATAAAACATGTTTATCTTAACGAAATGTAGTCAAGTATTCTCTACAGAAATGGCATTTTGCACGGAACTGAAGAATTAATAAATATGAAGCCCAGTCTATACTTCGATTCACCACTTGCTCCTTTTTAGTATTTTAAACAGTTTGTGAGTTGAAAGATTCAAAGTAATAAATTAATAGAATCAATGCTACAAATTCTTCATATCCTACTTAAGTACAGCTTCACTGTGGTGAATACAAGACAACTAAAAACACCGTACGTATAACGAAGTAACGTTGGAACGTTTCTCAATATTAGCAGACACATTCAGTGTAAATAAAACAGAAAGTGCAAAGCAAAGACCTATACACTAATCCAACTTCCCCTTTCCTCGTGTGTGTCTACTTACCCACCTGTCATAAGATTGCAAATCCCAAATCCACACAACCTTTTTGGAACGTAAGACAGCACGTGCGCCGCGGTCAGAGCTGTGCGACGTGTCGGTGGATAGTGACCAACAGTTCGGCATCACCTAAAAGTGCCTGCGGTCAATGCAGAGAGAGCTAGAATAAGTACGCTTTCTGCGAGGAACGTAAGAACGAGGTGCAGGATGATTTTCCGCTGCACGAGACAGAAGCGCTGCGCAAGCGCAAATGAAGTCTAGACATTCTGCTATACAAAAACCAATGGACGTCTAGGATGTGCGTCGGCGGTTTAATTATGAGACAGCAAACCAATGTAAGTCAAACCTGTTCTACTGAATAGTAGACATTTTGCAGATCAGCTATGAGACAAAACATAAACCTAATCATTGAGTAAAATAGAGTAGGCAGGTTTACGTTATACCTGGGATGCAGAGTGGTAAACTTTTTCAGTTTGTCAGTCGGCTCCGAAGCGACGTACCTAAGTCAAATGTGAACTACTAAGTAGTAGACACCTTGTGACTTGGCTCTAAGACAATAAACATAAGTCAAACATAGTCTAGTGAATAAGAGATTATATGAGTCAGCTCTGAGATGGAAAGCGCAAGTCCAACTTGATCTACTGTGTAGTAGACACTTTGTGAGTTGGCTTTGAGGCAGTAAATAAGTCAGACTTGGTCTACAGATTAGTAGACTATTTGTGAGGCAGCTTCGCGACGGCACATATAAATCAATGATAGTCTACTGAGTAATATACTGTTTGTAAGTTGGCTCTTAGATGAAAAATTACGTCAGACTTGGTCTACTGAGTAATTCGCACTTTGTAAGTTGGCTCTTAGACGAAAACCTTACGTTAGACTGGATCTACTGAGTAATTCGTACTTTGTAAGTTGACTCATATACAAGTAGTTTTCACTTTATAAGTTGGTTCTTAGACGAAAACCTTACATTAGACTGGGTCTACTGAGTATTTCGTACTTTGTAAGTTGACTCATATACAAGTAGTTTTCACTTTATAAGTTGGTTCTTAGACGAAAACCTTACATTAGACTGGGTCTATTGAGTATTTCATACTTTGTAAGTTGACTCATATACAAGTAGTTTTCACTTTATAAGTTGGCTCTTAGACGAAAACCTTACATTAGACTGGGTCTACTGAGTAGTTTACACTTTGTAAGTTGACTCATATACAAGTAGTGTTCACTTTATAAGTTGGCTCTTAGACGAAAACCTTACGTTAGACTGGATCTACTGAGTAATTCGCACTTTGTAAGTTGACTCATATACAAGTAGTTTTCACTTTATAAGTTGGCTCTTAGACGGAAACCTTACGTTAGACTGGGTCTACTGAGTAGTTCGCACTTTGTAAGTTGACTCATATACAAGTAGTTTTCACTTTATAAGTTGGCTCTTAGACGAAAACCTTATGTTAGACTGGATCTACTGAGTAATTCGCACTTTGTAAGTTGACTCATATACAAGTAGTTTTCACTTTATAAGTTGGCTCTTAGACGAAAACCTTACGTTAGACTGGATCTACTGAGTAATTCGCACTTTGTAAGTTGACTCATATACAAGTAGTTTTCACTTTATAAGTTGGCTCTTAGAGAAAACACTTACTTTAGACTTGGTCTACTGAATAGCTGGCATTTCGTAAGTTCGCTCACAGACGAGAAATTTGCGTTAGACTTGGTTTAATGAGTGTTTGGCACTTTCGACTCGATTATCAGAAAGTTAATTCTAAGAATTCATAAGTGAAAGCAAAGAAAAATGTGTTATAATATGTCAACCACACCACATCTGCCAAATCCAGTGCCAACAAGCCCTTTCGCCCAATGTTAGGGATAATCAGGGTGACTAGGATACTACAGACAGAGTAGTGGTCTATGCACTATACATATGTCGTCAGTTTTCATGAATAACGACAGCTGTGGTTTGAATTAGATGAAGCAGTATGTTGTACGTACTATCAATTATATTTAAGTCATTTACATATTAGATTTTTATGGTAAGAATTAACAACACAACATTATTTACATATTATAGTTATATTTTAATCAACTTTATTATTATTCACAAAAACTGGCTAGTCATAAATCAAATCTAGTCCGCCGAGTAATAAAGATAGAACATTTGTGAATCTGCTCTGTAATGGAAAACATAATATATACCTGGGAAAGTAACCAGTGGAGAGTTTCTCTGTTCATAGCCGTACGGGAGGATTTTTCAGGGGGGGCTATGCAATTTTTGCCCGAATGAGGTTATGAGTGCTTCCCGAATGAAGGTAAAAATTGCCCGAATGGCTATATATGTATTGCAAACTAAGAGGGGGGGGGGATGCTATATGTATTGCAAACTAGGAGGGATGCCCCCACCTCGTAGGCCTATGCGTCAGTTGTGTGATTTTGAGACACCAAATACACGAAGTGTTGACCACGAAAGTCTTTGGGTCGGTATTTCCTAGAACTTATGAGTGCGTAAATCAGAAACAATAAACACAAAACAGACATGATTCGATGACTAACGACAATCTGGTTAGTAACAATTTCATCTAGTTAACTGGATTTTTTTTTTCAGAATTAACAATGCTAGAGAAAGTACTACAGAGGCATTAATTAATTCTCTTTCAGTACTCCTCAAATATTCTCTCCTTGTCCCTCCAATTTTTAATCTTATTACAGCGTGTCTTAGTTCTTTACTATAACTCAGCCTGGCGGTTCATCAGGTAAGTCAAATGAGGCACTGCCTTATGTAAAATTGTCATGTTCATGTCCATGTCCCTAATCTAAACACTTAAAACAAACGTACTTTTTATCATTAATCATGTTTTAGTTCTAATAATCTACGAGAGTGTAGTAAAAAAATAATTAATTACTATTAAAACTTCAATCACTATAATATTTCTGTGTAAGGAAACAGTACGTGAGTTCAAACAAAGAGTGTGCCAGAATGGCACGTTGCCATGCCAACAAGAGAGCTTGGTTAAGCAAGCTATAGATTGCCTAACAAAGTAGTGAGAAACGGACTCTGCAGAGACGAGAAGGTGCGGGACGTGACGTACGTTGATTTCAGTTCGTTGAAAATGTAGCAGTATATAGCGCGTGCTTCACCTCTCATAAAGGTCATCACCAGCTGCCACTAGACTCCAGCTAAGAACACCTGTTTTTATATCAAACTGAAAACACTCCTCTTCTGGATGTATATATAGTTTGAATGTAATATTTCAGCTATAAACTCGTTACACATCTTTCATTTATTTTTCGCTTTTCTTTTTTTATCGTATCATTTTTCACATCTCTGGATTTATCAAGAGTTTTATAAAACATATTATACCACATGAGGCGCGTGGCTTACTCACTTGTGTATACCGTCTACAGTGTTGGTGTCATCTGTCTTTAGGGAAGGTTGTCGTTAATCTTCCCGGTCTCTTCGGCGTCTATCGTTAACTAATCAATAGATGAGGGGAGACACTCCGGGTAGGGCAGCGGGCCAGTGTGTTAGAGCCACACCCTCCTCGAGACACCCAAGAATCGATAGCAGACAATTCAATAATTTGTCCTCGCGTCTGTAAACGAAGGTCATGTACAGATGGATTTCTAGTTGCTAGTGGCTACGCACTGACATTCTTCTGAAAAGAAAAATAGCAAGACATTCAAAGATTCTTGTAGTGAATGGAACTATTCGTCGTTGACACTAAAGATGAGAAATACGCTCGCTTGAAGGCCGGTGCATTGTAAACATATCACTGGAACTGATTAATGTTTACGTTGACGTATCTGATGATGTAAACTATATTTCTCTCAGAAGCTTAACATCATTCATCTGGTGGGCGGAGCTGTCTAAAGATTCATTGGAACTGATTAGTATTGACGTCAGCTATCTACTGCTCATAAAAGTTGAACATTATTCACCTGATGTTTGGATCTTCCTCAGGGTAACTGGAACTGATTAATGTTCACATAATTGGTAATGTAAGCTCTCTACTTCTCGTAAAGGTTGTATTCACTCTGATGGCTGGAGCTGTCTGAAGATATCACTGAAGCTGATTAACATTGGCAAACATGGTGATGTAAGCTCTTTGCTTCTAATTATAGTGAATAATATTCACCTAGTGGCTGAAGGTCTCTAGAGATATCAATGGAACTGATTTATGTTGAAGTGCAAAGCGACGTAAACTCTCACTTCCTCTCACAGAAGTTGAACTGTGTTCACTTGATGGTTGAGCTATCTGAACATATCGCTAGAACTAATTAATTCTGACGTACGTGGTTATGTAAGCTCTACTTCTCACAAAACTTGACTGACATTCACCTGGAGGTTGAAGGTCACTGGATATATCTTTGAAACTGAGCATACATGGGCATACATGGTGATGCAAGCTCTTTGCTTCTCACTATAATGAACAATACTCACCTCGTGACTGAAGGTTTCTAAAGATATCACTGGAACTTAAAGGTCAGTCTGTGGAAAGGCTCGACCCGGCAGCCTTTGAGACAGATGAGTCAACAACTAAAGGCCCCTCCCACACTCCCCCGCCGTAATATCACACAAAACAATCGTAAACATATTTGTATTTTATTTATTTTATAATTTTAAGCGTATTTATTTATGTAATAATATTATTGATTATAAGAGTTTATAACTGTGGGGGTGGGACAAAAACGTCTTATCCCAGAGCCTTCATAAGTCAACGTAATCCCCTGAATTTCTTTCCCTGAACTTGGAGAGATACGAGGCTCAAACGCAGCTTATGCAAAATGTTAGACAACCATAATAATAATGCTAATAATAATAAGGTTTTAATTAGTTAGTTGTTGTTGTTTTTTAATTTTCTTAACGATCTTATCATAAGTTAGTGATAAACACTCCTACAGAAATCATTCCTATGATAAGTAATGACTATTATAGTATTTTGGCACTTGTGTATAAAGTTAAAATCATAAATAATATTCAACGTTAAACTGTTACACAAT